AAAAAAAAAAAAAAAACAGTATAAATAAAACGCAACGAATAATAATATGACTCCAACAATGATACGACGCATTGAACGGTGGTAATATAAAAAAAAAAAGTCACGGTTTGCCGGATACTGTCAAGGTATATCGACGTGGAGTATCAAAGGTCATAATATACACGTAGGAAGGAGAGTGCCGTCTATTAAACCGATATGTATTATACGACGACCAACATAGGGGAGTTGTTTCAGTTATTGGTCTCAAAGGTCAGCAGCAGATGTGCGACGATGATAATAACGAAAACGGGAGACAAACGATATTAAAACGGCACTTTTTTAATACAATTTTTTTTTTATATATATATATATAAAATTTCGTCAATGTGATCGATTGTGTCAGCGTTTTAACCGGTAGTCGTGTTCCGCAGAGACATTTTTTTTGCCCAATACAAATTCCCCGTTTTTATTTTCTCCGTTTGGAAAATATTCATTTTTTATACTCCAGCGGCCGAAACATGATACACGACTTGGCGTGAGACATCGTACACGCCGTTTACATTATAAACACGTTATGATGTTGATTTTTAAGCACACGTCGATTATTATTTTATTTAAACGTATCGTTACACCTGTCGCATCGCGTTAATTCGCAAAGAGTTTTTAATAACAATAAAACGAATACCACACAATAACATCACGGTCTGTGTTATTATAATCGTACTTTGTTTTTGTTATTCGACCGACCGAACAGCAGATACATAATATTCATAATTTTTTTTTTTTTGACCGATTCGTTTAGGACAAAGAGAACATACAACGAGTGTAAAAAATAACGCAATGTTTGACCGGACCGAAAAACTTACGGTCGGCAAATAATATCAAACGTATGTGCACACGAATCGCTAGTTATTTAACGAGACAACCTCGTGTACTTTATGAGACTCGCAGACACGTATCGCAACGATTTTCCACGGTATTTGTTCCCAGCAAATATTGTGCTTTACGCGCGTTTTTTAATCAACAATTATTTTCCTTTTTATTCGGCAAAACAAAGTTCATCAACTCGTGCGGCCGCGTAATACGATAGTGGTACGGACTGTCCTGTAGCAGAGCAGCAATAACGGCGAGAGGGTGAAAAACGCGCAATGACTCATCAGCAGATTCGATTTCAAGTGTATTTGTGTGTGTACACAGAGAGATAGGGGTGTAATACAATAATAGTATGAGTATAATCGCAATAATTGTCGGAGGAATTTTAGAGGGAAAAACGAGTAGCCTCTTCGCAGCCGCCGGCCATTTCGGCAAACAGTCACTTTGCCGGGTCAGGCACCGTACGCACACTTCAGGTACTGGAAGATCACTAGCAGCAGCAAACGAATTTTTGCAGTAATAACCGCTCTGCGATCAAAATCGATCATTGCTCTTCGTGTACCTCACACACGGTGGAAACGCATACGGACCGCTGATAAATCCGAATTGTCTCCTCGCCTGCTTACAACGTGCAAATTACAATAATTAACTTGACCGCGATGAAGTTAATTGGTCGGCACACGTCAATGGTTCACGGCCGACCCAACTATTACAATATTTGTTCCGGGGTGGGAATCGCTTCTTTACTTGGCGTCATACGCCGTTGTCGCTACGCCACAGCCGGTCCAATTGTTTTTTATCACACGTAGCAGTGGATGCAAACAACACGCATTGCAGTCAGTACCAATAGCACAACCGAAATAAAACCAACAAGTGTTCGCCGAATCATTTTTTAACCGTCGCGCACCTTTGACGTGTCAAAATCGCATGTGCTCGTCGTTTTTTCTCCCTCGGTTGACGGGCGTACACGTTTGCCCGAAAATGTCTGTCGACGGACTTTATAAAAAAATGTCCGTGACAAATGTTATCCGTTGGGAGGAGCACTTGCAGAACAACGCGTATAGAAAAATCATTGTATCTGTTTGTTGATTAGTTCGGTCGACGATAATTATTTTTTCGTTTTCTTAAGAGGCCTCGGGTACAACAGCACTAGACTAATATTGTTTTTGTTTAATGATTCGACAGGCGTCTGCCTGCTAGTTGATCCTTCAAAAGGACACTTCTTTCGAAGGCCTCCCGAAGCGAAACAAATCATCGACCGAAGATTGTACGCCACGAAAAAAAAAAACATACAAACACACATCGTTAACGTTAAATTGCGCACTGGCGCCTTTATTTTTTACATTTACCCAAATCATCATCATCATCCGATTGTTTTTCGCGGCAGCCCTTACCGTGTTATCATAGTACCTACTCGCCCCCCCTCTTTCTATTTAATTGTACCGGATCGGCGATGATGACAAACCACCACCGACACACGCATACGGATCCATCAATCAAAAAGTTTTCCAAACAATTATAGCGCACCAAACAAGAACAATCGATCGTTTGATGATTTATTACGATATGGTTCCCGCTAATGAACGTTTCGATTGTTCTTTGAGCAACAACAACAATAATAATGTCTGTTGAAGCCAATTCCCTTTCCGAATCAACAGCATTCTTATCATAAGAACTACGTCTCGGCGTATTATTGATTTTAAACTACCAAAATAGAATTTTGCCCAATCGATATATGGTCCACAGTTGTTTCTTCGGTCTTTAATTTCCATCGATATTGACGGAACACACGTCGCATAGCATTTTGTTTGTATTGCTCACTTACAGCATCGTATCGCGAGCACACCGCGAGGCATTCGACCTCAGTGGCCTCTAATAATGACTGGAATATAACACGGGCTAATAACAATAACGATTGTAGTAATAACAAACGGATAGATGATATTATAAAATTATTATTGAACGGGCGCGAGCAGAGTACGCCGCTATTGTTTGTTTTCAAACATTAGACAATGGACGTACGAGGAATACAACGATTTTAGTTGTACAAACATAACCGAAGAAAAAAAGCACAAGAATTTTAATAGAAATTATTCTGGGCGCTCCCGATTATTTTCATTGTACACGCGTCGTCGTCGTCGTCCTATACATCTAGGTATTTGTATTTTACTCTTTTTTTTTTATTAATCCGATTCCTTTGTCCTTGGTCACACAAAAAGTCAATAATATGATTGGGTTCTGTCTACAATAGAATCACATTTTCGTCGTGTTTACAAAGTGTCCGATACGCATGTACCTCGAATTTGTGCCGTTTCCAATACGTGTACCCAATGACAGGTGCCCGTAAGGTTTGTCGTCACCTTTTCCACCGCGTCCCGTTCACTGTTATACGTATTATCGAAATACTTCCAGTTAATAATTCGAAAACTTCTCGTAATTTGTCCGGAGCGCCCGCGTACATGTCTTTTTCGAAAAAAAATAAACGGTGCCAGGTCGTTACTCCAGTGCACCGAAAGGCAATCGTCTGCATCGCATAACGAACATGACTAATAGCTACGATAATAATTGAGGTCGGAAAATAACAATTTGTCGGACCGTAGCGACTAGTGGCGAGTAAAAAAATAACATATCGTGCAGTTCTCGACCGTATGGTAATGTTACGATTATTCGGGCGGCCCTCGTTGGCCCCGACAACAGTCCGCGCAAACTGTACTTTAATTATACATTATATTTAATTATAGGTCGTCACTTGCATTGAACACGAGTATAATTCGGTTAGGTGCCGCCAGTGAATGTGAGAAAACGTCATTGCGAGTAACATATAAATACGCAATATTTTCGTACGTTTGGATTGAGAAATACGAACAATTAATGCCCAGAGATTTCTGGGGAAAACGGCAATCACAACAGCGCCGAGAAAAAGGTGTGTGACTGCCGGTGTTCCTGTACTATTATGTAGCGAAGGCGTGTTGATAGAATAATAGACATGAGTGAAAACGATAAAAAAACATGGTCGTCCAAAAAACAACGTCGTGCCTGCTGATGTACATCATGACGTAAATATGGGTAATTATTATCGTTCGTTTTTCACTCGGCAGCGCCGCCAATGGAAGTATTCAATTCGTAATGACCCAATTGAAAAAAATTTATTTCAACAGATGAATATCTCCATGTCTAAGCACCGAATCGACGTTGCTCGTCAATTCCGTGTTATTACAACAAGTGCGTTCGTTTATAGCTTTATTAGGCACTTTATCACCGAGTACTTAGTTGCAGTATAACTCTCTTAGGCATGCGTAATTAATTTTTACAGTTTGTATAAAAAATGTTGGATTTCAATGATTTACTGTGCGCACGGAACAAAGAATGTCTGACATAATTGATATTCAACTTTGTACATGTTTTGTCGCCGCCAATTATCGTGCCTAGTATCTTTCTCAATGACCTTGGATCGGGCTATTTTTAAATTTATTAAAATATGAAATAATTCTAAACGGACACTGAACATCCAAACGGAACTCAATATAGTAGTTAAACGCTATTAAACGCGTTAATGTTTCATAAGATGTATAATTAAGATGAGAAAAAGAATGGAATTACCCACGGTGTCTAAAAACTATTGCTGAATACGT